GCCAACGACAGGGAGAACTACGACATCATGAAGACTTACCACTACCTGTACTTAGCGATGCTGGAGAGGTACAGAGACAGCGAGAATATCATCGAGAAGGAAGTTCTTCCGCCGATCGAAGCGTACGGGAACAGGACGGAATGCAGAACTCCTCAGGAATTAGAGTCCATCAGGCAGGACAGAGATGCCCTCCACATGGAAGGCCTCATTGTGCGTGAAAGAATTCTGGGCTCGGACAACATCGATGTCTCTCACCCCATTATTTACCGTGGGGCTGTTTATGCGGATAGCATGGAGTTCGAGCAGTGTATCAAGCTGTGGCTCCATGCCTTGCACCTGAGGCAAAAAGGCAACAGGAATACTCACAGGGACCTGCTGAGGTTTGCCCAGGTCTTTTCTCAGATGATACACTTAAACGAGCCGGTTAAAGCCAAGGACATCGAGAGTGTTCTGAGGTGCAACGTCTTGGAAATAGAACAAGGCATGTCCCGCATCAAAACCACCCAGGACGCTGACATCCACACAGCCATGGACAACTACGAATGCAATATTTTTACCTTCCTCTACTTGGTCTGCATCTCCACTAAGACCCAGTGCAGCGAAGAGGATCAGTCGCGCATCAACAAGCAGATCTACAACCTGATTCATCTCGACCCCAGGACGCGGGATGGCTCCAGCCTGCTGCATCACGCCGTCAATTCCAGCACTCCCGTGGACGACTTCCACACCAATGATGTCTGCAGCTTCCCGAATGCTCTGGTCACGAAGCTGCTGCTGGACTGCGGTGCTGATGTGAACGCTGTGGACAACGAGGGGAACAGTCCTCTCCACCTCATTGTCCAATACCACAGGCCCATCAGTGACTTCTTGACGTTGCATTCCATCATCATTAGCCTGGTGGAGGCCGGAGCCCACACAGACATGACAAATAAGCAGAAGAAAACTCCTCTGGATAAAAGTACCACGGGGGTGTCTGAAATACTCCTTAAAACTCAAATGAAGCTGAGTCTCAAGTGCCTGGCTGCCCGTGCGGTGCGGATCTATAACATCAGCTATCAGAACCAGATCCCCAGAACTCTGGAGGAGTTTGTCAAGTTTCACTAGGCTACACAAAACCTTTTGTGGTGGTGCTATCCCACGATGACATCGATTGCAGGCGACAGAACATGTGTGTATACATGGAGTTGTGTTTCTCTCTCGTTTTGGTTCCTTTGGATTCGGTCTGCAGCCTCTGTTCTCATGTGGATCCTGGGGGGGATAAAAGCCACGTGATTTTCCCATAGTCACACCTGGTGTTTGAGATTTTGGTCATTGCTTTTAATTAGAAAAATAATCATAATGTTTTCTCCCTTGTTTTCAGGGACAAAAGAAAAAGATTCCCCATGTAAGTGGTGCAGAATATTTTGTTCCAAATCTATCTCTCTGCTGGTGATGGCAGTTGAATGCTCTGAGTGGTTCCATACAGAGGCACCCCAGTGCCCCACTCACGCTGCTCCCAAGGTTTTAAAGTGTCTCCAAGTGAGGTAGGGGATGGAATTCCCTGGTCGTTACGTGGTTAATGTCTCAGTACACAGAGCAGCCCATTGCTCTTATACCTCACAGTCTTACAATGCCTTTCAGTTCATGCTGAAGATGTTGGTAACATCTTAAAAGCTTTTAATTTTCTTTTTAATGACTTTCTGAACAGCAGTTATCAACAGCTACAGAAGTAAGGGATGCTCTGTTAGGAAATACAGGTTCAAATTCAGATGTGGTCTGTTCCTCTCGTTAACAGTTGAAGTACCAAGCTCTTCATTGGCAATACTCTGGTAAGTGTTGAGTAGCTTCTGGAGAACGAACTGGCACGTTGGTCAAAGTGAACCAGCAGCATGGTTTCCTTTTATGCAGCTAAAAGTCCCTCACATGTAAAGGCCCTGCATGGGTACCTGGGGAATGGACAGGGTATCTGTGTCTGTGTGTGTCCCAGCATTTCAAACTGCTTTTCACTTGTTTTTGGACGCTCAACACGCACCTTCCTCGGACTCAAAGTGTGTGGAGCTGCACTCTCAGATTCCAAATGCTGTATCTTCCTAACGGGGTCGTCGTCGCCAAAGAGAGTCTTCCTTCAGAGCGTGATTCTGCTTGAAACTGCTTCCTCCAACAAGCCAGGAGTCTGTGCCTCCCCCAGTTGGACTTTGTGAGAATTTTTTCATCATTTTTACTCCTTTCATTATGGAAATCTCTCTTAAAACTGATTTTTACGATGAACTCTCCTATCATAAGGTCTTCTATGGTAAGCAGCTGATTGTACAGTGGAACTGTTGCCTCAGACGGAGCTCGTCCTGGCTGGGAGCTGCAGATGCTGTGGCAGTACTGCGTCGCTGGTCTCACCGCCCCCTGGGAACTCTGCCATTTTAAAAGCAGCTTTTTAACCCTCAGATGATGAAAGAATGTTCTGTAGGTTTTTTTTTTGTTTTGTTTTGTTTTTTTTTAAACAATGATCCGGGTAGAACTCCAAGGCGAGATTATGGCACACGTTTCTATTTGTATGACAAATAAATAAACACTGAATGTGGGGTTGGTCTGCAGGGTGGTGGTTTTTTTTGTGCAGCACCAGGAAGAAGAGCAGGGCTTAAGGTGGGTGGTACTGCTGGCCTTGGTGGTTGTGTCTCCTCCAAGGGCAAATTTAGAAATACATGGGCTTCTCAAACTGCCATCTTTGCTCTGCTGGAAACTACAGCCAACAGGGCGTGCACACCTTCATCTATGCACAGATAACTGCTCACATCATAGCTACACAGAGCCATGTGTGCACACAGCTGTATAACCACAGCTTTAATGCAGATATGAACATGCAGACGTGTTAATATGTGTATTTGCATACAGATGGACGCAGTATTTAAGGCTGTCACTCACTTCCATACACGTAAGACATATATTTACACACAGTTGATGTGTCGTGTGTAATGGTATGTGTGTGTATGCACACACCATGCACATGTGTGCACAGGCATGTGGATGCACATGTATACAAACATACACTGGTGTCCAAATCTGTGTGCACAGATGTATGGCATAATGCATGATCATACTTACACAGCACATGCTTACAGTGTGTTGTGTTAACATCCATCATGAAGGTGTACCTATAGCTATGGATGCACACAGCTTCTGCTCTGGGAAGTTTTGGTCACAGGGAGTCTGTGCTTGGTAGGGAGGATCATGATATGGGGGACCATGTCTATCCCACAGCTCTGTGTGTGTGCATGTATACACATTTTAGGTGTGTGTGTATACACACATTATGTGTACACATATACATATATACATAAATGCATAAAATATATATAATGTGCTTATATACAAATATACATATGTGTGTACACATAAATATGGTCCATATGTATACATAATGCATTATAGGTATTGAGTGGACATACAGATATAAATATATGCTTATGTATATGTGTATACCTAAGTATATAGTGTGTGTGTATGTGTATGTATGGAGGTATATGTATGCACATATATGTATATCTATTTTTACATATCTATGTAAATAGATACATAAATGCTGTATGTAGATTATACATACATACATACATATATATGACAGAGAAATGCATGTACACATGTACACTCCCTTGATAATGCACAGTCTCTGCTATGAGCAGCATTTCCCAGAGCTGGAGGAGGCTTTTCTGTATGCATTTTGTGTATATAGGCATCTGTGGGTGTCTTTAGATGGGGGTGTGTTTGTGTATATATGTGTGTGTGTGTGTATACACATACATATAGGGAGTGTTTATCTATATGGGGTCTGTGTGTGTGTTTATGTACATATGGGGTGTGTATAGAGTATATAAATGGTGTGTGTATGTGTGTATATATATATATGGAGGCATACATATTTATAGGCTGTGTATATATAGATGTGTGTGCATATATAGCTGCCTATGGGCTGTGTGTACACTCATATATGTGTGGTGTTTGTGTGTGTGTATACGTGTGTGTAGTTTGAGTGAACAGGTGTGTTTCTGTAAGTGTATGTGCATGCCTGTATACGTTCATATAAGCATACAGACGTCGGTGTATGGAAATTTATGTGTATCTATATGTTCTTCCCCACCTCTGCAGGCACTGCCTGGTGTGAGCAGTGGTTCCCATGCTTGACACAGCTCCAGTGCTGTGCAGAGCCCTGGGCCTGGGAGGAAATCCATGGGGAGAAGCAGCTCCCACCTCCCCCCACTGGCACAGAACAGGAGAGGAGGCCTTCAGTTTTCACATACCGTATTTTTAATCCTTTAAAACAAAACAAAACACAAAACGAACAAACAAAAAACAAACAAACAAAAAAACAATTAAAAAAAAAAAACAAACCAAAAACCACCCCAAAAACTTCTTTACCAACCGCCGTTACACGTTGGGCGGACGTAGCTTCCTTCCCCTCCGTTACCATTAACATCAGCATAAATAGATTCTGCTACGCCATAAAGGAAGAGCGTTGTCGAACAGCACTGACCCTCTGCTGGGTGCTGAGCACGGCCAGCCACCACTCTGCCCTAAGGTGCTTCGCTCTGCCACTGCTTGTGTTCAGTGCATCAAGGAGAAGGCAACTCCAATCCTCTGCCTGCCCCAGCGCTGCCCTGCGGACGGAGCCAAACTTTGGTCCTTCTGCCCCTTTTTTAGGGGAAAGGATGGGACAGGTTGGGCCCTGGGGTTTGACACAGCTCCGTGATGGAAATTGGAAGGTATACGTATCTGAGAAGTAAGGAATGCGATCGAGGTGGTGCCCACGCAGGTGCTGCAGCCCCACGTTGTGTGCTGGGTCCGCTCCTGCTTGTCCCATCGGTGCTGCTGCAGGGGTGAGCTGTGCCCAAGGCAGGCTGAAGTTCCTCTCGCTGCGCTCCCCTCGGGCCACCAAACGGGGGGGGTGGATGTACGGCTTCTTCTTTGCCACCTATCTTTGTGTTTTCTTTCGGGTTTTGGAGCTGTCGAGGAGATTTCACAACCCCCCCCACGGCAAGCACCCTCGTCCCGATGCACCCCCGGCTCTCCCAGCACCGAGAGGGGTGGTGGGCGCTGCGCCCAGGAGGCAGCGAGAGGCCCCCCAACCCCCCGCCAGCATCACTCCAGCACCGCTGCGCTCCGCTGCTGCTCCTCCGCCTCCCGCCGGCGGCTGCCGCTCTGAAAAAAGCCGAGCTGTAGGGATTAGAGAGAAGAGAAAAACCCCAGCATCACTCGGGCTGGCAGCGTGGGAACGCCTCTCTTTTAAAGGGATGTCGTCAGGCGGTTGAACCCTGGAACGTGAACACAATGGATGTGGGGGAAAAAAAACAGAGAGATGCTGTTGTGACGCCCAATAGAGGCACCCTTGGTGCGAAGTTGCATTTTTTTTCCCCTCAGCAGCCACATGAGAGGTGGGTGCTGTAGGCACAGAGCCACGAGTCCCCCTAGCACGCCTCCCCTCCTCCCCCCGCAGGGCACTGCTCACCTTCCAGAGCACCAGAACCAGGAGTGCCAGCAGCAGGAGCCCCCCCAGCGTGCTGCCCAGGATGATCCAGATGGGGATCTGCCACTCCTCTGGCTTGGAGATTTCGAACGTTATCTGGAAGGCAAAGAGCACAGAGATAGATATGCCAGTTTGGGGTGCAGGAACGAGGAATGGAGGTGATGCTGGGGAATGCTGGAGCCAGTGGGTACCCCATGTGGGTTGTCTGGAGCTGTTGTGTGCCCAGCATGGGTTACTCCAGCCCTTCTGCCAGCCACCACCATGCTTTTCCAGCAAGATCAGAACAACCCCAAAGCCATGGGGTTGCATAGGTTTGTCCCACCCTGACGTGTTTCCCAGCCCAGGGCTCACCTGGCGGCTGGGATCCTCCTCACGGAACACAAAGGGGCTCCCAAAATGTCGCTGGAGGGCAGCATTGGTGGTCAGCTTCAGTGACTTGAACTTCAGCTGCACAAAGAGAGGCTGGAGCTGAGCACCGGCCATGGGGCTGGAGAGCTGCGCCCCAGGGGGTGTCCCCTGCAGCCCCAGGGCTTTGCCTTTAGAGGACTTACTGCTTTCAGTGATTTCATCCACAGATTGCCACGCAGGTGGAGGTTCATCTCCTCATTGGGGGCCAATTTCACATTGCAGTCGATGGAAATGATGTCGGAGTTGCTGTGGTTCTGCAAAGGGGGAGTTGGTGGATCAGGAGCATCAACCCTGCACGCTCTGTGCCCTAACTGTGTGACTGAGCAGGGACAGCCCCAGGGTTCCCCATGCCAGGGTTCCTCTGCAGGGCTCAGTGCCTACCAGGAGCGGGGTGCGGGTCAGGTCCTCCTCAGTCGGTGTGTGGCGGTAGTCGGTGTTATTCCCCCCGATGTTGCAGGTTGTGTTCTCCTGTGGGAAAAGGAAATGGAGATGGAGATGTGCTGGTGCCACCTCATTGCATCCTGGTGGGAGCTGTGGACCTGACACTGCCCTGTCACTCAGAGCCGTCACTGCTGCACCGTGGCCTGCAGTGGGGACATCAGAGTGACCGTGATGTGATGCATGATGCGGGGCCATACACCATGGGGCGTCTCCATCCTCACCTCCAAACCCAACGCCAAGGTGTTTCACCAGGATGGACCCCTCCCTACCTGGTCCACCAGGAACTCGGTGAGGAGCAGGAGGCGGTTGCCAGCCCTGGTGGCCACGGGGACGGTGAGTTTGATGGTCACCCCCTCCACGGGGAAGAAGCCCAGGTTCTGCAGCTGAAGGGACAAAGGGTAGGGATGAGGGATGGGAGGTGAGCAGGGCGGTGACACAGGGGTGGGATGCAGTCAATTCTTTACCTTGAAGATGCAGTGAAAGGGGGGACCGATGCTGTCGTATCTCTCCAGGGAGCTGTTGGATCTGATCTCATAGTAGTCCAGGCTGGATGTCCTGTGGTGACAGAGGGGGACAGAGGATGCTCACATTAACTGTCAGTAATGAAGTGGATTTATTTTCTCTGCCCCAGAGCCTCTAGTGTTTAAAAAAAAAAAAAAAAAAGTGACTGAAGGTCTAGAAAACCTTCCTGGAATCACAGCAAGCAGTGCCAGAGAATGTGCTGCTTGAGTCCATATTTCATCCTGCAGTCAGGTTAATAAATTATCAGATGTGCCTTCACTCCCTCCTTGCTTTGGACAGAGGACACACTCTGCTGTAGCAGATGCCCAAAGCTTTCCATGCACACTCTTTTGCTTGGAGAGGTGACTGCAAACCACGCAGCTGCCAGCCCAGGTGCAGCTTTACAGCCTCAGCACAGGCTGTGGACACATGCTAGGAACATTATTACCTACAGAAAGCTGTTTTTTTTTTCCCCCTATGAATAATTGCATTTAACACAACACAGCTCCCTCCTTGCTTCTCACTGCTGATTTTCCAAGCACGGCACCAAAGCAGCGATGCAGAGCCCCACTCTGTATCCCCCTGCCTCACACCTGGTGAACAGCAGGTCGGCCTCATACTTCAGCTGGAAGTTGAGGTGGGCAACGTTGTCCTCTTTGGTGCTCTCCTTCTCCTCGCTGTCACTGAAAGAGCAGCAAAGCACAACGTGAGCAGCTCCTGGGTATTTTTGTTGCGGTGTGGGGTGCAGGAGTGCAATGGCAAAGGGTCTACTTCTGCTTTACAGCCAGAGCACAGACAGAAGCAATTCTACTGCAGAGCTGTCATCAGCCTGAGGCCAAAACTGTGAGGTGTTTGGTGGAAGGTTGCACATGGACAGCAGCAGAGCAGCCCCGTGGGCACTGAGCAGGGGAACACACAGCAATGGTGTTTCCATGCAGTTCTTCCCCACCTGGATGCAGCAAACACAGCACTGAGCAAAGCACCGCAGGGCCCCTCCCCACCCACCCCCCCAGCATAGAGCTGCAGGCAGAAGGGGAGTGATGCTGCAGCCAGCAAGGGGGTGCAGCTAGCATTAACCTGTTGGCAACCAGGTAGATCTCCATGCTTTGCAGGAAAACTGACTTGCTGAACTCAAAATCCAGGCGAAAAGCCACCTGTGGGTATTGGGAGAAAGCATTACATGGGAAAAACCTCTTGCACCACTGGGGAGATGCTGCAGGGCACTGCGCAGAGACCCATCTTCCCAGCAGGGAAGGAGGTCGTGCTGGGGACATGCAGGATTTGCTCCCTTCTTCTGATGTGCTGCGTTTTCCTCTCTGAGGCCGGAAAACAAAGCAGCCCCTCAGGAAAGGGCACTGCTGAGGGGAGCAGTGCAGGGCTGCAGTGCACATCTGCAGTATGGGGTCGGCCGGTGGGGCTGGGAGCCAATGGCAACAACATGTGATGTGTGTCACATCTGTGAGCGCCATGGCGATGACCTCAAGCTGTCTGGGACCGCACAGCTGATTATGATATTAAAGCTCCTGCTGCTCGCCGGCCAAATTTCCATCTCCAGCTTTGTCTTTGTCTTGGCAGGACAGGGGCTACCTGATGCCATGCAGATGCGTTCTCAGCCCTTGGAGGTCATGGGGAGCTTCTCCCTGCTCGCTCCCTGCCACAAGCATCCAAAACGCCCTTTTGGGAGCTGTCAAGTTGCCTGGCGTTCTCCTATCACTTCCAGGCTTTGACACGGTGCAGCTTTGGCCAGATTTGGGGGCCGGGAAGGTTTTATGGAGGGCAGCTCAGTGAGGTGCTGCTGTGGGAGCAGGCAGGGAGCTGATTGCTCTTGGTTAATTTGAGGCAGGAAAATGCATGGTGGAAAGTGAAGGTGGGAAAGTTGGCTCCTTGTCTTGGAAATGGAATCGCGATTGTGTTTGTGCTGCAGAGCCCACAGCTGGCTTTGGGGTTGGACATACCTGGCCCCCCGAACCAAAGGTTTCTTGAGGGGATGGCATTACCTTGGCTTTGGCACGGAAAAAGGGGTAGCTCACATTGCAGACCCTCTTGTTGGGGTGCTTCTCTTCGGTCGCACAGTCGATGTTGATGTCTGTGTCATCCTGAAATGGGATGCAGGGCAGTTGTGACACTGGGTTTGGCTGCGGGCACCACCTCATGGCCATGCTCCTCATGAAGTGGGCAAACATCCCTTATGAGAGAGACATTTAACAAATGGGCAAGGAAAAACCTCCCCATGCACCACTGCAGGGGCAGCCCACCCATATGGCTCCTGGAGAGCAGCATTTCCAACAAGCCCCTGTCAGCTTTCCCATCTAAATCCTCTTCCAAAGCTTAACTACAGTGCTGAATGAATGAAACTGATTGTTCTTGGCACTGTGTTCAAGATTTTTCTATGCTTCCCTGTGAAATCTGATCATCAGGAGATGCTGTCCTGCACACTGACCAGATGAGAAGTAATTGTTAATCAGCTCAGCTCAAGGATTGGGTCCCTGCTGCCCAAACACCTCCAGCTCTTTGGGAAGCTCCAAGCCTTCAACAGCCCCCACACCTCTGTCAGCAATCTGCTTATTTCTGAGCTGTGGCAGCCAGGTGCCCACAAACAGAGCAACCTTTTGATAACCTCGCTTGAAATGAAAAACACTGCTGTATTTCCAAAACAAGGAGCTAAAGCAGCAACAAACACTGAAGAGCTAAACATACAGGGCGCAGGGCACCCTTCTCCCAACCACCGGAGCTCAAAGCAGCGCACCTTGGGGACGAGGCTGGCGAACTGCAGGTTCCTGGAGAAGGAGATGTTGAGCACAGTGCTGTAGGCGTTCTCACCGCGGTTCTCCAGCACTGCCTCCACAGCCACCCTCCTGCGGGTGCTCTCAATGATGAAGACTGAAGTGTCGAAGGAGAGGCTGAAGGCAGAGCAGGCGGGCGCTGCACGGCGCAGGGCTCTGCTGCAGAACTCCCTGTAGGGCAGGGGCAGGATGTAAATCCCATGGCATCACTATCTCACATCCCTGGGTGTTGGTTTCTTTTTTTTCTTTGCAGGAGCAAGCGAAGCCCTGCAGCCTTGCTGAGGATCGTGAAGGAACACGTCTGTTCCAACATACAACCTCAAAAGTGATTTGCTCAACAGATGTCACCTCTTTACCACCGTGAGCTCAGCGCAGAACCCACTGCCACCCACGTGAGGAGAGACCCAAGCCCCCCGAGATGACCTTTCAAAGCTCTTTAAGGGATCAGACATAGCATATAATTATTTCTGCTGTGTGAGTCAAGCCTGGCATTTATCCCCCTGTTATTTTCTGATTTGTCTCTGGGGCCCCATCACCATGGCATCAGATAGGAGTTGTTTGGAAGTACACCAATCCATTCCCAGCTGAGAGTAGAGATGCTCGGAGTGGAGCAGGACTGCTCTGTGCTCTGCCAACCCCATGTCACCCATATTGGGAGCATCTAGGTGCTTGGTGTGGGACCTGCACTGCAGCTGGGGTTGGGTTGGTGAGCCAGCCCTGGCATGGCCAACTCACATGGCACTGGGCACATCACTTCGGGCATCCAGGACCAGGTCAGGGACACAGTGCTCATCCTCGTTGCATCCGTTCCAGAAAGGGACCTGGTGGGGACAGCAAGAACAGACCACTGATTGTTTTGCCCTGGAGAGCATCAGGCTGTGCTGACCACAGGAGGGATTGGGGTGGCTGCCCCAGGGTAAGGCAGCATAGGCTTCCTTTGGGGATAAGCCCACTGACCACACTGACCGCTAAATTAGACTTTCAGTTCCAACTGCAGACACCAAAGTCCTCGACAGCCACCAGTCCCACCAAGCTCCAGTACTGCTGGGCAAGACTAACCGTGCCTGGTATGCATGCACCCTCCTGCAGCTAAGCTCCCAGGGGTAACATCTGCTTAAAACCAGGGCTATCATGGATGCACACCCCCACAGTGCAGCATCTCCAGCCAGAACTCCCAAATCCCATGGCAAAATTCCCTAGGAATAAGTAATAGAAACACTGAGCATGTGGCGCTTTGACAGGGTGCCATTGCTGGGTGGATTTTCATAGAATCACAGAAGTATTTGAGTTAGAAGGGACCTTTAGAGGCCATCTAAGGAACAGGGACAAGGAACAGGGACACCTCGCAGCAGACAGCAAGGATTCCTTGCCCACACCATTTCAGCCACCCCACTAAGTGATGCCCTGCGTGAGGATGCTGCCCGTACCGAGACCCGGAGCGAGGTGGGCCAGCCATCATCCAGCACAGGGCCGCTCTCAGGATGCTCCAGCTCGTAGTCAATGGAGAATGTCACTGGTTTCACATAGTCAGCTGTGTCCTGCAGCAGGCAGAAAGCAATGTTGGGGAGACAGCCCACTGCTTGTGGTGGCACGGGTGGTTATTTTATGAAACAAGAATTTGCAATACAGTGTCCTTTGTGCATCATCCTCCCTCTCCAGCAAACCCTCACCTAGGGACAGGGACACTGCAAGCCCTGTGGTGCTGAGCAGCACCCACCCATGTGGATATCCAGTGGTGCAGGCAGGGGCTGATCCTGGGCATTTCACACACCAAAGCTGCCCTGGGGTCCATCCCTGGAGCTCATCCAGGTGGTAACAGCATACACATTGCTGCACCTCCATAAATTCCCCCCATGCCATGCCCCAAACACATGATGTGCACGAGGCTGCTTCAAAGCGTGATGCCTCTGGAGCTAAATCCCAATCTCCATCTCTAAGCTCCATCCCCAGAACCAAAAATTTCCCAGAAGTTCGTGGCAGTTCAGGCTGAGGTTTGGGGACAGGCCAGTCTGGCAGCCTCCTTGGCCTCCAAAGAATTCTCATCATTTGCTAAGAATGTTTGAGTTCGGCCAGATTTGTGCATCAGCTGCTCCCCACGCACGACATCAAGGATATTGCCTGCTCCTGTGCTTGGGGAGGAGACCACAAGGTTTGGGATGCAGTAGATAGTAGCAGCAGGGGCTGAATGACTTCCAATGGGAAAAAGTGAACTTGCATTGACTTTGGAGTGGGAGAACCACCCTGATCCAGGCACAGAGTGCATTCCATCCTTGATGACATCAAACCCAGCGCAAATAAATCCAGGCTCAGCAACCAGGCTCCTTCCCAGCCACACAGAGCCCTCAGCCATCACCCTACAGATGCACGCTGCTGCATCGGTGCTCTGCACGAAGGGGAGAGCATCCTTCCTCCTGCAGATGCAGCCCTGCAGCAGCAGGACCCCAGCACAGCCCCACTCACCAGCACATGGAAGCGCAGCGTCTCACAGTGCTCCTGCCCTGCTGGCAGCACCAGTGCCTGCTGTGCGTGCCGCTCACCGCTCTCATCCAGCAGCGCCCGCGGGGCGTACCGCCGCTCGTCGATGGCCGCCTCGTACCTCAGCGCTGCAACGAAAGCATGCAGGATATCCGAATACTTAGCTCACACACTGACACCTTGGCCTGTAACTGCTGTGGAGGTGCTGCTGCCCAGGTGTGCTGTGCTCTCCCAGGTACACTACAGCAAAGCAACTGAGTGTTCTCAAGTGGTGCCAAGCAGGACAACTCCACACCCGGTACGTGGGGAAGCCAAGAGTTGGTGGCACGTGAGCTTTGCTCAGGGCCAACTTTTTCCCAATCTGGAGCACACTTTGAGAGCATTTGTTGCCAGCTTTGGGGCTGAGCTGCTCTCACCCCCACTGAATCTCAGGCACTGGGGTGGATGTGGGGTCACAGCAGCACGCGGTGCTTTCAAAGCAGAGCGCTCATCAGTAAAGCTGCTCTGAGCTGATCGGAAGTGTGAACATCTGGAGTGCAGATGTGTCCTGCTGCTGCAGCACAGAGCAAGGGGAGCTCTGTGGGACCACGCACGTCCCATTGTGCTGTTGGCTGCAAAGCAGTGGGGCAGCTGTGTCCAGGGGCAGAGGTGAACCAGGATCTCCCTAAGGAGCACGTGAGGGTTCTGCCTACTGCTTACCCACGCTGGCTGTCTGGAAGTGTGCTGAGAGGAAGATGGCAGTGAAGCAGACGAAGGCTGTCATGCAGGTGGCATCCTTCCCATTGCGCTTACAGTCCTTGGTGAAGATGTTAATCTTGGGGGGCTCGAAGCGGATACTGGCATTGATCTGGACAACGCTGCGGGACCTGAGGGGCGAGTAAGTTGCTGCAGCATGGAGCACCTGTGCATGACCACAGCATCCTACAGAAAGCCCAGACCTCTAGATTCACCTTTTTCACGCTTTTTTCTTAACATCGAGAAGACCCAAGGCAGCGTGCAGACCTGGTCTCAGCTCAGCTGTGTAGCATTGGAAGCATAGGGTCTCCTCTATGCATTTGCCCCCTGCTTATGAGCGTGAGAGCAGGACTTGGTGCCTTGCATGCACACTAGTGCTTCTGCAGCATCAGGGGGTGTGCAGGTAAAGCATTTCCACTGGGGCAGTTACCTGTATCCTAACAGCCCCAAGGAACCTCCCAAGTGTTAATCAATGTTTGAAATTATTGTTGTCTTATTAAATAAGAGTAGGAAGAGTCTGGGTACCATCACAGGTAAATACATTGCTTTGAAACTCCCAGGGAACTAACAAAGAGATTCCATGTAAAACATCCCTGATGTTCTTTTAGGGCTCAGCTTCATCTGTAATCCCAAAGCCCCACCAAACTGCGGGTGTTATTCTGGAAAGATGGGTCAGGATTCTGGGAGATCATTCTCCCCTGAAAACATGAGCACACTGCAATGGACTTTGGGCAGAGAACAGTGCCAAATGAGATGGACTAACCATAGCACCACAGCGTTCCCCAGGGAGCCAACAGCCAAATCTATGAGCCCGTCTTCATTCAGGTCCAGCTGTCCATGGATGCTGCATCCAAAATACATCAGGCCTGGTCTGAGGTCTGCAGCTGCTATTCGCTGAAAAGCAAAAAGGAAAGAATCCAGCCTGGTTTGTACCTCTGCCTGCAAAGTCAGCATTTGTGAAGGTGGAGTGTTCATGTGAGCACGGGTGCACCAAGGTCTGCTGTGCCAGCTCCTCGGGTTACTGGGTTACTGAGGATACCTATTCCCAAGTAATTGCATCAAATCTAGTTTGTCAGAGGATGTGAGAAATTTCCCTTTGGAGACATGATCCAAAAGATTTGTGCTGACATTTGCTATCCTTCGTGAGTATTTTTAATATTTTATACAAAGCAAACTGCTGCTCTGAATGCTGAGCGTGTTCACCATACTGTGCATTTGTTTTGTCTTGGGCCCACCAAAAGAGAAAATAACAGATGACTGTGCAACAAGAAAAAAACAACATAAACTCCAGGCCCATGTAAATCAATGGCCAAATGCACTATTGTTGCATTCATGGACACTGATGGACTTTGACTTCAGATTGGGTTTGGTGAAGTCAAAGTCCACCAGTGACCACCAGTGTCCATGGGTGCAGTTGATGAAGAATGGAGGCAACCAAAGCCCTGGGAGCTGTACCTGCTTGTACTTCTTCAGGATGGTCTCCTCAAAGCCAAGGAAGATGTAGATTGCTCCTTGGTGGTCATCTTCCAAAGGTGCCCCAATGACGACATCATTGTAGGAGTCCTGGTTGAGGTCAGGCACGGCAGCAATGCAGGAGCCGAAGCGTGAGTTCTGGTAGCTCTGCAGGTCCTCGAGGGCCCCGCTGGAGACAAAGTGGTTCTGCAAGGAGAAAGTGGGAAATTGTGTCAGCAGAAAGCCTGGAAAACCCGGAAAGGGAAATAGACGAGAGGTGAGTCCTACAAAATAATTGGTTTGTGGCACATGGGTGCCATAACGAGCCACGATGCTGAGCTCTGTGGTGGCACTGACATGCTTGTACCTCTTGCAGGGTGTAGACGTAGACTTTGCCCCTCTCCCTGCCTTCACTGAAGTACATGGGGGCTCCCACCAGCAGAACGTCTGTGACACCGTCGCCATTCACATCCAGGGAGTTGATCTCACTTCCATAGTAGGAGCCAATCTGGGGGAGACAAGAGGGAGATGGGAGCACCTGGGGACAGTGACCCTGCCTGCAAGGACAGCTCCAGTCCCCTCCTCTCCTACACTTTCTGGGGCTGCATGTGCAGCAACAGCCCGGAGATCCCCAACTATTCACATATTATGATACAAAATGAACGGGGAACATCAGTACGGGAGCACACAGCAGCTGGGCAAATCCACACTGCACGCAGGGAGAGGAGGAGCAGAAAGCGGCATTGCAGCCGTGTCTCACATTACCTGCTCTCCTTTCAGCGCCTGGTGGATGGTCAGGTTGCGGTTGCTGTGCATGGTGAAGATGATGACCTTCCCAGTGTGGTTGAACCTGGGTGCTCCCGCGACGTAGAGCCTCTCGCGCGCAGTGGACACAACAGAGGAGACGGTGTAACCTGTGGCACGGGTGTGGGGTGAGCAAGATCTGCCTCCTGCCTGTCCCATCCTATACCCCCATGGTCGCCTCTGGTGGCTGCAGAGGAGCTCACACAGCACTGTAACTGACAAACCCCCTTTTCCAAACTTGCAGCCTGCTCTGGATTCCTACAAATTATTTTAGAGTCTTAAAGCACAGCTGGCTCTGAGGCTGGCTCAGATCTCTCCCAGGGTCAAAGCCGGCTGAGATGTGAGAGCCTGGAGGCTGGTGGGACTCACAGACCCCTTTTCCTTGGGCACTGACTCTACCTTAGGCTTTGTCTTCTCTACTTTTTCCCCTCCTGGGGGGATATTTCTAAGCAGAGCATCAACCTTGAAGCACTCAGAACCCAGGGCAGGGTACACTGGGGCTTTCTTGCTATGTCTGTCTTTCCCACCGCTTCCAGTAAGGAAATGAGTGCCTGGGGCTCTTGGTGTCCTGGTGGGTGAACAGCCCCCAGTCTCAGCACTCATAGCTTGGGCAGAGGCTTCGTTTTGCAAACCAGTCCGGGATCCTCACTGCAGGACTCCCACACATGGAACAGATTAGCACAGCAGGTATTTCCTCCCTGGGCATGAAATTTCATCAGTGTTTTTTAAGCTGTTCCAGTAAGCACTTGGGGTGAGCTGGGCCTGAGCTCCTCCTGCACTAAAATTGCATTTGTGCTGCGTGATGCAGTTGCTGTGGGGCTCTCCCTTGGTGCTGAGTCTGCTTGGTTACCAGAGGTCTTGCACGGATGGACATTACCCCTGACACTGGCAACCCTTCCCAACTCGGGAAGCATTTTGTGCTTCCTGTTACTGAGCATCAAATCCCAGCTGCAGAGCCCAGCAGAGCCGCCTCACCGAGGTACGCGCCGTGGTTCTTCAGCTCCTCAGGAAACTCCTGCAGGTAGGACTCACGCAGTGGGATCACCTTCCCACTGCTGGTCTCCTTCAGCACGGCCCCATTCCAGTCGTAGGCACCTACAGCACCCAGCAGGATGCCATCCTGCAGAGATGGCACGGTCAGCACAGCATGCAGGAGGTTCGCACTGCATCTCATTTGGTTGCCTTTTATTTTTAAAGCCTCTTGCCATGCTATTTCTTGCGTATCAGAGACAATCCTCCCACTTGTTACTTGTATGGGTGAAGGTGACCCACAAGCGAGGGCCTCAGTGATTCTATGATTCCATGACCCAAGGGGGCTGGTTTTGTGGGATCCCTAAACACCCAGTTTCTAGGCTATCATAGAAGCATTGAGGCTAGAAAAGGCCTCCAAGATCCCCAACCCATCCCACTGTGCCCACGTCCCTCAGTGCCACAGCCCCACAGCTCTGAAACACCCCCATGAGCAGCGATCTCAGCACTGCCTGTGCAGCCTGTGCTGATGCAGCACCCACCGATCCCCTTTGCAGCCCTTTTCCCCAGCTGTAAATACCCACAGGTATTTACAGGAGCAAAGTGGTTTTACCCTCTTACCTCCACAATGTGTGATGAGAATCCAGTCTGGGACATCTCCAATCCAAAGGAGATTTCATTCTTGTTGGTTCCTTAAAAAGGAAAAGAAGGGATTTAATGCAAAATTCCCCTGCAGGGGATGACATTGGGTTGGATGGGATGAAAGCACCTCCACCCTGCTGAGCACAGATGACCTCAGCTGGCACAAATGTCCCTCAATCACCACAATTACACACACTTGTGCTGCTAATGAGTGACTGAATAAATACAGAATAGAATAAATAGTGTGAGCACTGCCTCTGTGCAGCTGCTTTGTTTCATAGCTGCAAATTACAGGATCACATATTAAAAAAAAAAAAAAAAAGTGTGGATTCAAAGGGTTTTGTTTTGTTGCAACTGGATGAAATTCCTCAGCCAGTGAGATATTGTGCCATGGAGAAGCACTGGGCTGGATGAGACAGCTGGTGGGGAGGTTAGGAACTGTTTGACCAAAATTCCCCCAAATCCTCTTTCTTTTATATTCAGTGAACGCCTTCCATCTTCAGTTTCGATGGCCTGTCCCAGTATGCCCTTTCCTTATGAAATGGAGATAAATTCAGTGGTGAAATACAAAAAGCTCACCCCTGTTTGCTCAACCTAGGGCATTGTAGGGCGCGAGCATCGAGTGGAGGCGCCACATCTGTGCTCTGTGGCCATTCTAGCTCCTATCGACTGGGTTGGAATCTGGGGAGGGCAGGGAAGGCATTGCTCACCTTCCAGGCTGAAAATCCTTTCCCCCAGGGCGTCCACGATGTCTTTGAGCGCCGCTTCGTCCGTGACATTGAAGAAGTGTTTGTCGTCAGGGTCGCTCGCTATGAATTTAATTTCATTCAGAAAGGCTTCGGGATTGATTCCTCTTCTGTTATAATAACCCAGCACCTGGGGTGGAGGCAGGGATGTGAAGATCAGGTCTTTTCATGACACGGACACAGCTGTCCCGAAGCAGCCCAGTACTCACAGCCACCGCGTATCTGGTGACGTTGTCTTTCTCGCTGTCCTCAATCACCTTCTCCAGATCTGGGCTGTCGTGCGATTCTCCATCTGTGATTACAATCATTACTCTCTTTGCCCCTTTCCGGCCACCTTTCTGAAATGCTTCCGAGCTGCAATTGAAGAGATGCCCTGGGCTGCTCAGAGTCACCGCAGGGGTCACAGCCACCCCAGCGCGTCCCCTGCATCCCGGCTGCGTCCCTGTGCCCACACTCTGCAGACTGCAGGGAGGGATGGAGCGCGAGGAGGGAGAGAAGGGAAGAAGACACTGAGTTTAAGCTCATGGGAACGAAGGTGAACGTGAGGGATTTTTACCGTGCAAACTCTATCCCGTAGGCAGTCCTGGTCTCTGTCCCTCCTCTTTGCTCTATGTGGCTGGCAGCTGCTACCACGTCTTTTACAGACCTGTAGTCATTCAAATGGAACTCGTGGACCACATCTTCTCCATACTGAACAACTCCAACCTAGAGAGCACGGACAGGTCACAACAAAGCTCGCTGCATAGTGGGGCACAGCAACCTGAGGGATGATTTCCCGGCCCCACAGAGAGGCAGATCTATGGCGTGTTCGCGTTGCATAGGCTGGGAACAGCAACCCGAGCAAAAGTTGGGCCAAGAAAAAAGGGAAAAGGAAAATAGTAAAAAATCAAGGGGTATTTTGCCAGGTTTTGAGGCTAGCAGTGACAACCGAAATGTTGGATCTGAGATTGTTTGGAGTTTTGCTCAGCTACAGAAGAGAAAGCCATTCAGATCATTGACACAGCAGTTCACTGCTCATTGTGCTCCATTAGTGGAGACAGCAGCTGAGCATCCCCAGCCCCGCTGGGACCCAACCTCCCCAGCAGCCTGCAGCCACCCTCAACATCTCTATTTGCTCCAGTTTTCTCCCTATGGGACCATTGATAATGCTCAATTTTGTTTCCATTTTCTGCCTGCTATTGCCCACTCTGGGTATGTAGGTGTGGGATGATGCAGCCGTGCTGTGATCCAGTGCAGAACCACATCATCTCCAGATAAGACCCACTGGGGGTTATCTGTGCAAAGTGCTGAGGAATCAGGAGTGGTCATAACACCTCTCTCTTCCCTTTCCTTATCACAGAGCCGTGCAAAATCCCTGCACAAATAATTGCACGATTGCATCTGCCCAGGGCAGTGCACCTACATTTCCATATGATTTCATCCTCCCCGTGCCTGGTCGGCTGTGCTCCCCATAGCTCCTTCAGGGACATTAATGTGAGCACTATTTCCGTGGGCTCAGCATCGCGACGCATGCATCCAACGCTCAGTGCCAGATCACAGCGTTTTGTCCAAGCAGAGACTTTGCACAAAGCCACAACACAGCAGCATTTCAGGGCTTACTTGGATCTGGCCGGGCCCGATGTAAAATTTTTTCAAGATGTTGATCAGGAAGTGCTGAACTTCAACCCAGGGGTATATGCTGTTTGATCCATCCAGAACAATGATTATGTCCATGTATGTCTGGCATCCTGTGAAGGATACGCAGCGCGGCATTGAAGGGCCTTGGCAGCCCTTGAGAAGTGGGGATTTACGGCCCCATTCCTCACCATCAGGTACTGATGATTTGTTTGAAAAAAAAACATCTTACTTCAATCCTTCATAAAGCCCTTCTGGGTGTATTCACTCCAACAGGGCATAAAGAAGCCACATGCATCCTCCCTGCCAATAGCAGTCTGATTAAGAATAACATCCCACAGTGTATTTTCTAGTTCAGATTTGGCCCTCTGTCCTGTATCACACAGTCCTCTTTATGAAACACCCATTTGCAATGAGAACAAAAAGCATCTGATCATAACGAGGGAAGCAACACCTGAAATTTGGTGCTGGGATCCACCCTACTCCTCCACCACCCAAATCTCCATGTTTTTTTCTTATGCCAGGCTGAGGAAAAGGAGCATTTGCAGAGCTGAGACCCTGGGACAGCCTTCTGCAATTTCCCACCACCCACAGGAAAGCCAGGAAGCTTGTTTAATATCTCAGAATCAAATCATGCCCCTGAATCTACAAATTGGGGCCAGGTTATTTAGCTTCCAGTCAATGAGCTCTTTGTTTTGTGTGGCCAAGTGCTGAATTCTTTCCCTATTTTGCCTTCTGAGCTGCGCTGATAAAATATTCTGGATGCTTTTTCATTCTGCTTTTGGAAGAATAAGGTATTTTTGTCTTCTCCGGGTGTCAGTCAGAAGGAAAATGTTTACCAGATGTCTGTGCTCGTAACCCCCTTTGAATCACTGCCCTGCAATAATTTTCTTTGCTATCTCGCCTTCTCTCAAGCACCAACAGAGCTTTGTTTGCTCAGTGGTATCGAAGTGCTCAGGGAGCACAAAGTTATGCTAGCTTCAAGCACAGAATCACAGTAGAACTGTAGGAGTTGGAAGAGACCTCTAAAGAACATCAAGTCCCAACCCCACGCAGGGAGGGTTAGAGGGTACACAAGAGTTTCTCCTACTTTGCAACGCTGGGGCCACCGTCTTGGCAAATCGAAAGTTGGCGTTGACACGGGAGCACATCCCAGTGGTGTAGTAGGAGCTGCCACACTCGTGGGACCAGAGAGGGCTGCAGGCCTGGGGGAACAGGAGACAGCATCAGGGATGGTCCTGGGAATGGCACTTTTTCATTGTGTGGGAAAGCAGGAGTTCAGAGCATCACTTGGAGCATCACCGTGCCCACCAGCATCACCACCATGCAGACTTGCAGCTGCCCGCCACCCAGATCCTGAACCACCAACAGGGCATGCTGGGAGCTGGGAAAGCATTTGCACACGTGCAAATCTTTGTAAACATGCATATAAATACGTGCACAAGCCTATGTGCATGTGGTCATGCACGTGCATAGCAGAGAGTCCCCCCACTCTCACCAGGAAGCTGCTGTCCTTGGGGTTGGTGGCCAGGCTCAGCCCCAGGCGCATGTTGTCCTTGCGCTCGGACACATTGGACAGAGTGACTCTTCCTTTGGAGAGAAGACACGGTTAGCTGCTGCCTGCCTGCATGGAGCATCCCTGCCATGAGAGCCAGGGACACGGAGAGCTGCCGAGTTTGTGCTTTCCCTTTTGTTTTTGAAGCAGATTGTCAAGATAAGGTGTTTTTGTTTGTTTTTTTTTTTCCTGCTTGCCATAACAAATAAAGAGAAACGTCTTCTGGGAATGAAACTGTGAGTCACAGACTCTTACGTAGGAAGTCCTTAGGAGAGAAACCCCTCTGAGCAGCTCTAGCATCTCATCCTTTAATGTTGGGCCAGCATGCATTTATATTTGTGCCTTTCTTTCATTTCCCATGTCACAGTCCAGAAACCAGGAACGGCCCATGGGGCAACCCTTTATTTTGGTTAACATGAATAGCACTTAGCTTTGACAAAAACACTGTCTAACCCTTTCATTCCCCCAGTGCAGCTTCACGAGCTCGTCCAAACAACCTCCACCCAAGCTGAGGATACTTAACCCTCACTGATGCCCACTGACCTGGGCTGGGAACCCAGGCGGGGCCCGTGGGGCTGATGGAGACAAGGGAGACAACGGGAATGATGAGGATGATGGGGAAAGTGGAACCAATGGGGATGATGAGCACAAAGGAGATGATGGGGACAATGGGAATGTTGGGGAAAACGGGAATGATGGGCACCATGGAGACAATGGGGCGATGCTCCTGCCAGCCTTGCTGGCTCCTGTGGCAGCCAACAGTTGTCCTTCTCTTGGCCATGCAGGAATGCTGGTGTCACTCTGGGGCAGCCCTGGGCTTGCTTTTACTCAGGTGGCCTCAGTGCTGAGTAGTCAAAATAATAAAAATAGAGGGTGCTCTCTGAACTGATTTTTTTTCATTTGAAACTTGTTTCCAATGGAAAAAGCTTGCTTTTTAGCAAAATTCAGATTTACGCGAGAGATTTATTCACTGGAAAAATCTTGAAGTTCTCAAGAAACAAAACAAATAATAATAATAAGAAGAAACCACAATGTTTTCAAACTAAACCCTATTTGCTTCCAATCAATCAAGCACTGTGGATGAGCCAAAGATCCTTCTCTCTTATCAGCTCTGGTAGGAACCCATAACAGTTCAGATGAATAATGATGATAAATAAAGTGCAAACTCCTGCTCTGCTGTGAAACCACCCGAGAATTTGCCCCTAAGCCCCAGAGATGTTTCTCAAGACCCTGGGAAAGTCCCAGGCTCTCACATTCCCACTGACATGGGGCAATATGGGGAACTCATCCCCCAGCCTGGGACATCCTGCTCTTTGCTGGTGTGTGAGGTGGTCATTACCCACTGCTGACTTTCTCCTGACTGAATGAATCAAACAATTTAAGCTCTGTTAACTAAATTTAACTATTTAACTCCATCCTGACTTGCTTCATTTTATCCCATTGGTGCTTAAAGCTCATGGCCAGGAGTCACACAAACACCTGAAATAACGACCCAGCACCCCTCGTGCCCTGGGATGCAGTACCTAGGTTGAGCTTGGTGCAGTTGCTGTGAGCGTCGCTGGTCAGTGGGCACTTGTAGACATCTCCTGTCTTCTGCTGCCCATTGGTCTCATAGGGGGCCCCCACAACCAGCCTGCAAAAAAAGGCACCTGTCAGTGTCTCAGGGCTGACTTTTTGTCAGAAAAATGGAAAGAAAGAAACAAACAAAGAAATCCTTCCCTGCGAGGATGTGGTCAAAACATTTTCATCTGTTGGCTCTTGCAAAATCAGACCCGGTCCCCACCACTCCCATGCAAACCTACAAACTGGCCATGTGCCTTAGTGCTGCTGGGAAGCACTGTCTGATACCCAAAGGAAAAGGTAACTGTGACTCACATTGAGGTGCATGGGGAATATTCTCCACTAAAAAGGTAAAAAAAGTGAATTTTCTGGAGATTTGCTCCACGCTGGGGTTGCTCACTTATGATCAGCCCACAGTGGTCCGGTGGTAACCAGCTCAGGGGCAGGCAAGGATGCTGGGCATCCATCTGCACACTGAAATAAGCAGAGGTTTATCAGCTGATAGAAACACATAGTGCCAGAAAGGCTGTGGGATTCGTCTGGGACATTGCAGGCATTTTTTTCACTTTCTTGTGGACTTGACCAGACTGGAACAAAGCAGCAAACCAAAGGAGGAGAAGAGCAGGACCTGAGGAATTCATCCCTTTTTTTTCCAGGCCAGTTCAAAAATAACCTGAACCACGGGTTTCTGGCACCTCCTGCTCCCAATGTGTTAGCCCAAAATAAATCTAGTCCACTGCATTTTGTTTTAAGAACCCATCGGTGGATGCAGCCGTCCCCATCCAGATTGCTGAACACACAGGACCTCTTTTGTTCTGAGCTGCCCTACACAACAGCTGGCAAAGCCACTGTTTTCCAGCACAGATGTTCCCAGTTAGGCCAGATTCGGTAATTTTTTTTAAACACTGCCTCTACAAAGACAGTAAGCAATCATTCTTTTATTCCATCACTATTAAATGGGATTGCTCACCAACCGAAAACCTTCAAAATCTAAGAAGTATTTAAGGATTCCCACGGAAATACTTCCTGTCTTACAGCTTCGCTGCTAACGAGGAGATTAATTAGGATAAAATAACAACCATCTGGAACCACGCTCAATGGCATCCAGAGGTTGTGTACCTTCTCCTGGACATGTAGGAGGAGTTTGCTCGTGTCTCTCTGCTTCTAGCCCACACATTATTACGGTCAGAAAAAGAGAAGGCAGCAAATGTGAAATGCTAAAAGACGTTGCAGTGGAAGACAGAAAAGATGAGAAGAAGTCAATGTTGAGGCATCCCAAAGGATGATCCTCATTTGTTTGCTCTTCGTTACCCAAGAGCTGAACACAGATGGGATTTAACAGGAACTTGGAGCACCTTCACCTTGGTGGCCCCCCTGTGCAGTGTGTCCAGGATCCCTCTGGGACTGCAGGATATGTGCTCCCCAGCCCAGGAATTACCCTCCCCATGGGAAAATCCAACCTGGGCATCTCCCGCTAATTAATACTCCCATATCACCATTATCACATTATCTGTTAATTAATAATCACCAGCATTCGACAGCAACCTGTAAAGCAAGAGACAGCGGTGATGGCAGGGCAGCCCATCCCACCCATTCCCCAGCCCTACATCACGCCTGCAGGCTCAAAGAAAGCCCAAATACTTACAGCCACTGCCCTAAATGTAGCGGAAACGCACGCAGGGGTTGAGAAGCTCACCAAAACAGATTTTTTGCCTTCCCAAGACAATGGCATTGTTTTCCCTCTCGGGTTAAATAGAAGTGATTAATGAGCCAAAGCTGTCAAACTCCCGTGGAAACTTGGCAGCTCAGGAGAAGGCTTTTGCAGCTGTTGGGAAGGTGATGGCGCAGGCTGTGGGAGCAGGGGAATGTCTCCCCAAGGCAGTGATGCCAGCTTGCAGGTTACCAACCCCTCCCTTTATCTTGCTTTGTAAACTCGTGGTCTAAACAGTTCTTTTTTTTTTCTTTTTTTCTCCATACATAAAGAAAATAATGACAAAGCTTCCTAAAATGCCCTATCTCAAATGACTCGGATCCAATGAGGGCACCTTGCTATCCCTTCCCATGTGCAACCCTGGGTCACCTCAAATCCTCCCCTAGCACTCCCAGTGGTCCCAAGCAAGCAAAGCCCTCTGCAGAGCCCAGAGCAGCAGCCTTGCATCATGCTTTGGCTAATAAAGGAAGATTTAAGAGCAAACAAGAACCAAACGACGCCTCCCTCGCCTTCCTTTTCATGCGGTCCTTATGGAGAAAACAAAAGCAAAAAAAAAAAAGGAATTTAATGTGAAGCGCATAAATCGCTCAGAGCAACATGACTGAGGACATATTTCTAATATTCTTCCCTGGGAAAAAAGCTGAAAACAGCGATGTTGGTGGAAATGCCCACGTTGTGTCTTCTCAGACGATGCAGTAAGAATTGAATTTCTGGATCTGTGCTTTTATCAGACCATTAAACCCATGCTCTGTCCTGCTTCGTGGTCTCGCACGAGCCACGGCTGCAAACCATGCAAGGCTCACATCAAACACCAAAACAATGCAAATCTGAGCATTCAAGGGGGAATTTTTTGTTGTTGTTGCTGGGTTTTTGTTTTGTTTTGGTGGGGTTTTTTTGCACTGTTTCAAACGGTTTCATTGCATGGGAACATGGGTGGTAGCACAAAACCTGAAAGACAGCAGCACTGCGGTGTCTGGAACAACTGGAGTCCCAGCTGCTTGGTGCCAAACCATGCTTCTCTTTTTTCTCCCCTTAGCCAAACTACCTAGTGTAATTTCCTGCACCACAGACATTAATTCATGCAGGTTATCTCAGTAATGAACCCAGGAAGCAATGCTTGGCTGGAGCACACCTCCCAAAAGCCATTCAGCTGTGATTTGAAGGTGTTGAGGGTTGGAGAACCCATTCTTCCAATGGAGAACGTGTCATAGAGCTCATCCCTTTCACCTCTCTCCAGGCAGAAGAGAAGTGTGATCACTGCTGGTGCTTTGCACCTCAAATTAAGGATGCCTGGGAGCCCCCTATGACCTTCTGACTTAAGGGAGCGACTCCCCACACAGCATAGAGAGGTTGCAAAGCTCATTACGAGCCCCCCAGGACGTTTTGATTAAATGGAAAGAAGTCAGGAAAAGAAGGTATGTGTCGCTGGTGATCTGGGAATGCAGGGATTAGGAAGGAATGGAGAAGAAACTATGCTTTTCACAGGATTTTTCAATCAATGGGACACTTAATCTCCTGCAAGGCAAATTCACTTGTACTTAATTTATTCAAGATGGGATTGGATGAAGAAGTTATTAAAGGGGTTCAGGAAAGGGAGAGTTCAGCAGTGGAAAACTTTCAGTTGGTTTGTGGCAGCTTGGACTGGACACAGGAGGGGAAGGGACTTTGAGATATTTTTCTCTATGCTGGCCCTCTCACTGCAAAATGAAAGATAAACACATCTGCATCCAACCAGCTGCTCAGGTTGATCTGGGAGGGGATGCTCCTAAATACCCAGCACAGCTCTGCGCGCATCCCGTGGCCCTGCCACCTCCACCCATTGTAGCCTTGTAATGGGAAGGGGCCTCCAACAGGACGTGGGGCCAAAGACCAAGCCGTGCAGCTGTCCTTTGTGCCACAGCAATCCCATAGACATTGCAAGAAGCAAAATGAGCAGAGTTCTCCCTAAAATAGTGTACGATGGGTGTGTTGCAGAACACGGCTGAGGAGCTCGCAGAATACTGTGGTCAGAAATAATGATACTTTCTTGTTTTTCCTGGTGTAATTTTTTCCTTTCACGCAGGGCTATGGCAACCCAGGAGTGTTTACAGGCAAGGCCCCTGGGCTGCGGGTTTCCACTATGATGTTTGGGGTGGCTGGTTGGGGCATCAGGCACCACGTCCATCCTGACCCCAGCACTGATTTCTACTGGAAGTTTCCAAAGCAAACCCTGATCTCTGACACTGGCTCTCACTGGCTGCCTCTCGCTTTCCCTAATTGCCCATTATCACCAGAAAACGATGCTCTTGGGGGATCCCAAACCACCATTAGGTCACTGGCTCCATCCTGCTGCTGTGCAGCGCTCTGAGACCACCCAATCCTAAACATCAAAGAAATGACCACAAAAGCCTTTTTATGGTCAAGTAATATGGGATAGGAGGGAGTAACATCATCTCCATTCATAAAGATCTGCTGCACGGTATCTATAGCTCTTTTCCTCCCAGATTTGAGGTAGGCTGAAAGAATGCGCCCATGAGCACTGCAGGAGGACTTCCTCCTCCCTTCTGCAAGACCTGCCACAAGGATCACAAGGGACTGTTTTTCAGCTGAACCAAAGGCTTTCAAAACAAAAATAATAATAATAATAATTATAATAAATACAAATGGTAGGACATACACTTGTGATTGATGCCATCCATCTCTAGAGCTGGTGAGAACCAGTCAAAAGATTTTCTCCAAGGATGTCTAACATACCATGTCCTCCATGGAGCCCTGGGGCAGCCCTCAGGAGCCTGGTGATGCTACCAGCAGAGCCCTGGGGTTTCTCACAGTTAAAGCCCACTGAACACAGGAGTAGATTGGGGCTGCAGTGCATCCCCCATTCCCGGCACGGTGGGAGGGAGCGCCAGGAGCAGACGTTTCCCCGCGCCGAAGGAATGCTCTGCAGCTATGTACCCTTTCACCAAAATAATCCCAGCACTCGGGCACTGGCCAAACCACAGGAGAGTTGCAGCCAAGAAAGCCTCGCAGTAGTAGGGAAATAGCAAACCCTTTAACTGTTTTTCCAGATCAGCACAATTACAGCTTTAAATCCACCGAGCAGACTTTTCTCTCCTCTCCCTCCTCCTTTTTCCCTCACGAGTGCTCAGACTGGAAACGTCACGTCTGTTGCTGGGGCTGCTCTCTGTGGGCACTGGGGGGGGTTCATCCCTAGAGGCCCTTCTGCTGCTGTAGGTCCAAACCCCACAGCAGAGCAGAGCTTTGCAGCGCCGCATGTCACACAGGAGTCAGAGCAGCACGAGCTGCAGCAGTCGGTGATGCTCTTGGGACAACGCCACCTCGCCAGCAGCATCAGCAAAGCTCCGCTCCCAGCCTGCTTGAGAATGCTATATTTATTATTTTTATGGCTTCAGAAGGCTAATGGATGTTTATTCACAATGTTTCACTTCCACAGCCAGTTCTCCTCATGCCTCATTTTTTTGGATAGCTAGAAAACGCTCAGCACGCAAGCAGCGATGCTCCTGCTGCCCCGTGGCACAGCCACCTCCTCCCAGCCTCACATTTTTTATTTAGATGGGGAAAAGGATGTGGGTGTCTGGAATATCATGATGGAAAGCCAAGGGCGGCAGCTGGGGCTTCTGGCTGGGAGCACACTCAGATGACACACGGAGTGCCCCCAGCCCACTCACATCTCCCCACTTGCACACACTGCCGCAGACACCTGCCTTCAGCCTTTCCCTATAAATCCCTCCCAGGTGGTGCAGTGGAAAGTCCCGTCTGGGTCGGCAGCACAGTGCTAATCTCATCAGGGTGGGCTTTGTGCGGCTGCAGCCCCAGCCCCCATCCCACATCCAGCTGGAGCCAGCAGGGGGTAATCCAGAACATCTGGTGGCAGGGCTGGGCCTGCTGCATCGCAGAGCTCCAGAGATGCTGAAGTGATGGAGAGCTGAGAGAAGCACTTGGGAAAGGGATCTCTAACAACATTTCCCTCTGAACTCCATGCAGTTCTGGTCCATATTTGATATACACGTGCCTGCTGAGATTCATGGGATCATTAAGATTGGAAGAGACTTCTCAGATCTGCAAGCCCAACCCCAACTCATCCCACTGTGCCCACTGACCTCATCTCCAAGTGCCACATCTCCACATTTCTTGGACTCCTCCAGGAACAGTGACTCCACCACTGCCCTGAGCTGCCTGTGCCAATGCTCAGTTCCCCATTTCCATGCTTGAACATCCTTACTTTTCCCCAATAAATGCACCTACAGCAACAAGCCTGTCTGGGTTCATACTATCCACACCTTGAATACTCCTAAACTGCATGGCACAGTGCAAGAAGAGGAGCAGCTCACTTCTTTGAGACATTGCCATCACCCAACCCCTAAAGCACCTCTATCAACCCCAAAATTCCGCCCACATCTGATGGGGAGGCACTGACCCCAGTGAGTATCACAGCACTACCTGAGGCACCAGCACAGGGCTGTGGGACGCTCAGACCCACACCAGATCCAGGCAGAGTTCGGTCAGCACACACCGGGATGAGATTTGGGAGCCTGCTGTCATTTTTTCCATTTGCACACTTAGAGCACAGCTCACACCTCCAGCTTCATGAAAAAGGGAGAGAAGCAGCAAGAGGGAGGTCTGGGAGGCACTGCTGCCTGCCAGCAGGGAACGTGACCCCACAAAGCAGAGAGCTCCTGGAGCAGTGCATTTCCAACTGCTTCTTCCCCCAGAGTTTAATAATCGGGATTCTTTCCTCCCAGGTTTTCCACTATCAGAGCTGCTGTCATAGCCCCACGTGCAAGCTGTCTGGATGCTACTGCAAGGGAAAGTGCCACAACTCCAAATACACCTGCAGAATTACATTTGTGTACACACGCATAAATATTCCTATACTCTCACTCACACATACATAAGCTGCTTTGCAATCCTCCTGCAGCCATCCACGATGGCCAAAAGCAGCATTAAAACAGTTCAGACTGGAGCAGAGGTGCCAAACTCCTCAGATTCCACATTCAATATTTGGCAGCTGTATGGCTGAGCGCTGTCAGAGCCGTTGCTCCTGGAGGAGCTACATTTCAGACACAGCCATTTCACTCCTCCGAGCTCCTGGGTGCTGCTTGCCTCTACTCCTGCCTTCCACTAGCCACAGTTCTGCCATATCACTCCCATTCCTTCTACACCTGGCTGCTTTCCAGCCTGGCTGAGACTCTGCACAATGATTATCACATGGCTCTCGGTGTCCTTGGTTCATACTACAGACATTTTGTTTGTTCAGTCATTTCTCCTTTAACCAGAGTGAGTCATGATGGCTTCATTTTTAATGACGTGCACATTTAATAGACATGTTATACTATGTAATTGCCCATTCTAATACACACTGTATTTATGTATATGCCTACGCTTACCCAGGGCAGAGAACATCCATTTCTTCATGCGGTGCAGAAAAACTTTGTCATTTGTGGAGTCAGGAGTTGGACTCAGCGATCCTTATGGGTCCCTTCCAACTTGGGATTACTCTATGATTCTATGAAAATGACAGCTAAGTGCTGGCAGATGTTGACATGGGAGATGTGGGAGAAGAACATGCGAGCTGGGCTGGCTCTCTGCTGCCACTATCACAAAATTGGAGGGGATGGAAGGGACCCATGGAGAGCACCCAGCCCAACCCCATACTAACGCAGGGCCCCTACAATAGGTTGCAAGTGGATGTGTCACTTTGTCACTGGAGGAACAGGATGGCACCTGAGTGCACACACCATCCTCAATGGTTACTGCTCCCCGCTGAGGTTTTGGCACTTGAAGGATTAAAAGAAAAATAGAAGTAGAGCAGCAGAGGTAGGAATGTGATGGCAGAGACATTTTGTTCTGCTCCTTATCTGCTTCAAAGAACTGCAGTCTCTGATCAGCTCTTTCCTAGGCTTAGCCCCAGCCTCACATTTTTGGCAAGGTTCTGCCTCCCTTCTGGCACTGCTGGTGTGGCGAGCTGCACCTCCATTCACCAGTACAGCTTCTGTTTGGGTTGTGGCCTGAATGCAGAAAGTCTGTGAGAATTTAGGGCAAGAAAACAGGCTAAAAGAGCAATCCCTTTGGGCTCAGAGCAGCTGTGCTGCAGGGGCATGTGCCCCAGCATCACATGGAGCCAGACCATGCATGAGATCTTCCCAGCAAGGCAGCAGCACAGTGAGCTGCTCCCAGGCTGTGCATTGAGGGAATTGCTGGAACGTCCTTTATTTACAGGAGCTGCCTCGTGGCTGTGCTCCCTCCCTGCTCCGGTGGCTTTGGCCATGATCAGCCCTGCTGGCAGGTTGCCCAAAATTCCTTATCCTTCCAAGAAAGCCTTGCTTTGGGTAAATAGCCATGTTCTCAAGCACAGAAAGGGTGAAGGAATTCCTGGTTTAAGTTCAAGTGCAAGTTGGACAGCAGGGAAAGAGTCCTGAGGATGGAAAGGGTCCCCAGTGCCATGTGAAAACCTGCTCATGGACCACTGGGGTGCACCAATAGGGATGCTCCAGTGCTAGGCATGGCCATACTTTGGAGGAGACCCAGCCATGAACCCTCTGGGGGCTACATCACATGCTCAGAACCCAGCTCTGCCATGGGGATGGGGTGGCCTCCTGGACTGCAACAGCTTTTTACCTCATCCTCCAATACATGAGCAAAACCCCTGAGCAAAACTCATCCCAGTTTCACCCCACACTCCTGGCTGCAGCAGGCAGCTCTGATAATTTCTGCAGACATCGCTTCTTCAGTGGAAACTCTATAACATTTTATAGATGGGATGGCCCTAACCCAAAGCCCAGATGGATTTCCAACAAGTGCTGGAGGCTGAGCGGCCCTGGGGAGCTGTGAACCTGCCTGGAGTGGGACGAGAGCCCCTGCAGCACCTGCAAACCCTGCTCTGTGCACATAACTTGGACCCATCACCAAACCTTGCTTAAATCTTGCATTTTCCAGTCTCAAATCTTGCTTAAGTCTTGCAATTACCAGCACCAGACCTTGCTACCCTACAGAGCCTGAGCAATGCCTGCCCCAAATCGGCAGGTTGGGAGGAGCAGGGGATAGGCACGTTCCCATAGGGTGTTGTAGACCCCTCCTCTCAGTACTCACTCACCACTTCTTGCCCCCAATGTCGTGCTGCTGCACTGTGTAGCCAAAATACGCATCCTTAGAGCCAGTGATGATTTTGGGCCTCTTGGTGTCGATGTTGAAGGCGTCACTGAGCCCTGGGAAGAGAAGGATCCCGTTAAACACAGCGCAGAGATGGAAGAAGAAAGCACTTGTTACAGCAAGGGTGGTCAGACCCTGAAGAGGTCAACCAGAGCTGTGTGGAGCCCCATCCATGGGGATATCCCACACAGCCTGCCCCAATAAGAACACAGATGCTCTCCAGAATTGCCTCCAACCCCAACACCATTGTCTAGAATAGCAAAAAGTAGTTTGATCACATCACAGCAGCTTGGTGGCACAGCATCACCTTGACAACCTGCAATCGAAGGGAGGCTGAAACCCCAGATGCACTCACCCCACCCCTCCTACAGTCACTGAAGGATGTAGATGTGAGACTGCATTCCAGCACACAGCCATCCCCATTGACCACCTCCTGCCTTCTCCAGGGGCTTTGCAGCACCAAAGAGACAACAGAGTCACATCTCACATGCAACCAGAAGCTGATGTCACCAGGGGGATGCCAGGGAGAACAATTATAGAACAGCTTGAGGTGGAAAGGACATGTAAAGTCCATTTGGCCCCATTCCCCTGCAATGAACGGGACACCCACAGCTCCTCCAGCCTGACCTTGGGTGTCTGCAGGTACAGGGCATTCATCACCTCTCTGGGCAACAAATACCAGTGCCTCACTATCCTTATTATCAAAAAAAAAAAAAAAAGACCCACAAAAACACTCAACCTTTTCTTATATCCAGTCAAAATCTCCCCTTTCTACAGCTGGTGTGGCTGTACTGCAGGGAAGCACTCAGCACATCCCAGCTTGTTGGCCTCCAGGCAGCAAGTAACTGCTGGACCACTTAGCCTGCCACAAATCAAGGATCCTGGCATTGCCCATAAGGCAGCTTTAGAGGCAGCAGAAGGGTCACGTTCAGTACTCATACAGAAACAAAAGGGTTGTCAACGGGAGAGGTTGGGAAACTGCTTCCCTGGCAGGAAATTTAGGATGGAAAGTGCTTTTGTAGGTAGGAATGTTAGGATTAAACCTGTTGTTTTTTTTCTTTTTTGCAGTCATAGTGACAAATTGGCAATGTTGGCTTGATAAACAGAGAAATGCAGCCTTGCCAATGGAGAGCTGAGGTAAGAAGCTTTATAATCCTACAAAAAGAAATTCTAGAAAGCAAGGAAAAAAAGAAAAAAAAGGAGACTGGGGAGAATGAGAGCCAGCACATTTTGTGGTAGTTTGACCTGATTTAACATTGCAAAACAAATCAAAACCTCCTTCGTGTTAACCATTGCCCACTGGAGACATGCAGGAGTCGAGCAGCAGGCACAGAGCGTGGCAGAGGGAGAGAAGGGCGCACAGGGGGTGAGAACATCCTCCAGCTTTGCACTGAAGGAGCATTTTCTTCTGTCAGTGCAGCTGGCACAAAAGCAGAAGGTTATGGGGAGCAGGAATGGTGGGAGAAGTTGGGGACAACCATCCTATGGCTCTTTGCTCTGATGCACTGCACAGCTTTGGGCTCCTGGAGAAATAAAGAGCAACTGAGCTGTTTGCAAGAGGCAGCCTGGAGAAGAAAAAGTACCAAGAGTGCAAGCAATTCATAGAACACAAAAGTCACTGAATAGAGAGAAGCAGGGAGAAATGTGAGGTAGGCCAATTAATGCATGCATGCAGAGAGTGAAGGTGAAAAGCAGTTTCCTGTGGGGTTTGCTGCTCCAAATGATAGGCAATATGAAGGGAGAGGCCAGACTGGGAGCCGAGCTTGGTTACATTGCATTTAGGGTTGGAAAAGAGGGGGAAAAAAGGAAAGGAATGGTAAAAACATTCCCTCCCATCCTTACTGATCCCCTTGAAATCCTTGGGAGGGGTGCAGCTCTGCTGCTCTCAAGCATTCACATTTTCCCGGGATGTCTCCCCAGTGATTGAGGTATTAGAACTCAGCAGTTTGGGATCTTTTTCTCTCCATATTCAAATGTCTCCACCGAGTCCCATAGCAGGGATGGAAAGAAAGAGACCACAACAGCAGGGATGTGCTTGGACAGCAAAAACCACCACCCACCCAAGGAGCCCAAACCCCATTCTGCAGCGCTGCTAGGGCTCCAGTCTGCTGCTCTTGCTCTTTAAAAGCACCCTAAAGCTCTTCTTTTTTTTAACATAAATAATGTCTGTGTAGACATGAGGGACTGCAGCTAACCCTGACCCAATCCCATAGTTTAAACCCATTGGCTCCCAAAGCTGCAGTGAGATAGATGTGGGCTCTGATGGCCAGCATGCCCCGTGCTTCCAGCAGGTACCAGGCAGAAAAACAAAGCGGTCAGGAAGAAAGCTTCCAGACAATGGATGGCAGCACTGCTGGTATGTGGACACAGGAGGGAAGGAATTCAGGAAAGCAGACAGATGTGGGTGCATTCGAGGTAGGAAGAAAGAAAATAAATGTGTCAAGATTTAAGCCGGCTTAAATTAATGGAAGTTTCTCTGAAAGGTTGTCAAGGAGATTTAGCAACCCAGAGAGCTCAGCTTCATTTTCTTGTCAGAAGTGACATCACTGTCATAAATATGTGACCAAAACCCACATGTTTTGCTTGTGATCGCGCCAAGGCAGGAAGCCTCAAATACCTCCTTCCCGAACTGGAACTTCTGTTGAGTTGAAACTTTTTGATTCTTGTCAGGTCAAATAATGAAAGGGGGGGAAAATAAAGCACATTTGAGGAACAATGCTTGGGAAAAAAAGGCACCTTTGCTGCCAGAAAGAATTAAAATAAGTCCTCCTTGTGCAGCTTTGAGCAACTCCTGTGCCAGGGATGCTCTCACGGTCTCTGCACCTTCCTCCTGCCCCAATCCGCGCCTGTGCCCCCAGCTGGGTCATAGAATTATAAGCAATGGAAGAGAGCACTAAGATCATCTAGCCCAACCATCAACACATCATCCAACCATCAATCTATCTACCCCTGGTCCCCATGGGGTAGGTGAAGGTTTTGCCACTGTGCCCCACGCTAAGAAGTTGGTGGCTGCTGCTCGCTGTTTTGCTGCAAACTGTCAATCTGAGGAGATCAGAGCTGAGCAGAGGAGCTGCTGGAATAAATTCATTCTTACTTTGAGGGCATCCCCAAAGCTAGTGCTGTCACAGCTTAGGACAAGGTGGAAGCATAGGGTGAAGACCAACCTCTGGGCTCCTTAGCCCAAGAGCTGTCCTTGCACCATTCCCTTTCCTTATTGCCCAAATCCATGCAGGAAAGACAACCTCCATAGTGTGGAACTGCACACACAAGACACTGCCACTGAACCACTGTGACCCACACCACCCCAGCGTGTCCAGGGCAGCCAGCCAGGCTCCCATGACGAGATCCCCATTGCTGCATGGGCTTTGGTGGCATCAGACACTGCTCTGCAATCCATCTGTCACACATACTGTTTACTCTTACGTTCTGGATCGGCTTAGAGAAGACTTTGAGGTTGATATGGAGTATTTGGGCAAAAGCTAGCAGACTCCAAGGAGGAACAGGGTGGACCACATGTTCCTATGCCTCCCTCCAGCCTCAGCCTCTATCAAACTCTGCAGAATGAAACACTGAAAGCACCAAATTCCTATCCAGGTCTCTATCTCAAAGCCAGCATTTGTCATCAGTTATTAGGAAACAAACGGAGCTCGGTGGCTGCCACAGCTGCAGATAGAGAGCCAGGGAATACTGGGGATGAACAGAAGATCAGTCATCACAGATGCATGTGTTGTAACATTCCTGGTTACCCACAAAACATCTCACAAACAGCCCTGGGGCACTAGCTACAGCAGTACCTTGTGCTTCCACAGTTCAGCTTTCTGGCCCCCCAAAAGCAGGGGAGGAGCTGTGTGGCTGCATTAATTGCAGCAGACCATGTTTAACAGCATCGAGGAACACACTGATTATTCATTTGCAATGTGTTCACCAGGAATAACACAACTAGCCATGGGGGATGAATATCAGCTGCTCTCCAAATGCTCCTTTCCCAGGGGAGCTGCCTAAGGAGCAATGGGAGGCTCATCATAAGGCTCTGGGATGGAGATTGACTTCCCACATTCAAGTTGCCCACTGACTTCCAGTGGCCAAACCTTGGCTGTTGGATGGAGGACTCAAGGTGTGGGACATTCTAGCCCTGATCTTTGGGTTCTGCAGCCACACAGCATTTAGTTCCCATCAGCAAAGCCTTAGGCACAACTGCTGGAGGTCCCCTGTGACCCCACCTGGACCATCCCAAATACATCCCATAAGGCAAACACAAGAGTTTTACCATTTGGTGACCCTTTGGTGAAGGGATGAGCTGACTTGCCTTCTCTGAACAAGAAAACTAATGCAGGAAAACAAATGCATGCTGTGAAATGACAGAAATTATTGCATCTAAGAATGACTTCCTGAAGAAGAAATCTATCTTCATATCTGCTCAGACACCAAGTCCCCATGGTGTAAGTATCACCTCTCTTGCAACACAGCCTATGCCTGGAGGACTTATTGCAGCAAGCCCTCGGCCTGGATTTTAGCTATTTGTCCACAGGATGCATGGCACTGGTGGCCCCCGGGCACCATGATGCCCCCAGTACTGAGTAACCCCTGAAGGATGCCCCATGCCCACCAGCACCAGGGAACGGCGGTGTCTCAGGGCCTCCCAGCCCAGGTGTGTGCCTTGCAGACCAACAGAACACTCAGTGGCTGCCTGCACAGCAAAGGGACAGTTCCCAACAGCGCACATCCCAGCTCAGTGCCCTCGCACGGCACAGACTTGCTTTGAGTTAGTCCTCAGCAAAACACACTGAAATACAGCCACGAAGCATTGGGTCTGGCTGGGCTCAGAGACCACCACATCGTGATGGAAGCACCGTTAACCCTTCCTGCATCTCTGTCACCCCCAGCAGCAGCACCGTCCGCCTCAGTCACCATACAGACAACGATACCCACGGGCAGAAACCTCAACCCGAGGGCTGATTTTTATTCAGCCCAAAGCAGAAGCACAGATTTACCACAGCCCTGAGCTCACTCTATAATAGCTCTACGAGCAGCAGCTCTTTAAGAGGAGTTCACTGAGGGACTCTGTTGCCCACGTAAGCACGGCCGGCCGCAGCGCTCTGCCCCGCAGCTCCACGCAGGCAGCCCCGCGCCCTCCGCCATGCGAGCCATGCACACATGGTCCCCATTAGGCACAGAAAAGCAGCCCCGCCGTGGCTGGCTTGAAATCATCCAGCACCAGCGCTGTTAGCAAGGAGAAAAACAAAAGGAAAACAAAAAAGAAAGTGTTGGCTTGCTTTCCATTGGGATGTTTAGAAATGTTTACAGTGGCATTAGCTCTCGGTGCTGCCGGGGATGCGCGGCCGCCGGCGGTGCTCCTGGTAGTGGGAGCGAGCTCTGTTCTTCACTTTGAAGCTGAGCAGCCCCAGCCTGGGCTGTGTGCAGGAAGCTGCCAGCTGCAACCACAGCAGGACGGAGCCTCCTGCAAGCGGGCAGCAACGGGCTGAGCTCTGCCCCATCCCAGCCAAGCAGAGCTGCAGGAGCACATCCATAAGCAAGACACAGACCTAAAGATCTTCTTCACTTCTTTAATCCCAGGCACTTCTCTTCTGCATAGCAACTTCGCACACAACAGGGTAAGTTACATTATAAGCTAGATGAAGGATGCAAAAATTAACCCAAGGTAAAAAGGTCCTGTTGTCTAGGGGACTTATTTCTCCTCTGTTCTATACTCCAGAAAGCTGCTTGACTAATCCCACTCGTGCCCACAGCCCGGATGGGGAAGCACTCCAATCCTTTGAACTAACTCTGCTTGCCTCCGAGGCACCCGGCTCCCTCCCTCCTGCTCCAACAGCCCCATCAAAGCTGGGCTTTCCCAAACACCTTCCTTCCCTCTGCTTAAGCCAGCAGGAGTTCTTTTCCCAGACACAGAGGGGAGCGGGCTCTTACCGGGCAGAAGGCAGAGGGAGCAGGCGAGGAGCATCCCGCTGGGAAGGTCCATGGGAGCACCAGGGGCTCCCCGGCCCCGCGCATCTGCCGGAGACACCCAGCCAGAGTGGTAGCCCTGCTCAGAAAGCCCTTTCCTTATCCCCAGCCTTCCCCTGCTCCCTGACAGCAGACGAGCATTGGGAGGGAGTGGGAGGGACAAGTGAGGCTTGGAGGAGGTACAGCAGGAGAGGGGACAGCCTGCACGCGGCCACGGCACCCTTTAGGGATCGGGTCAGGGTTGGGGCTGTGTTGGATGGGATCTGTGTTCCCATGGCATGCTTCTAGGATTCCCGTGCCTCAATGGGACTGGTGGCAAAAAGTCTGCATGGGGCCACTGTTGATGGTGGTGTCAGCACTGTTGTGCTGTCACCCCATTTCAGGCACTACATCCACTGGGGGATGGGAGCAAAGCAGCAGTGCACCAAGGAGCACCTCCTGGGCTGTTCCCAGGCACTATGGAATGCTTTGACTCTGCATGTCCCTTGGGTTGGCTTCCCTGAGAATTGTCATCAACAGCCCTGACACCTCCAGGTGGACTCGACAGCCCAAAACATACTACACAACATCTTCTGGGTGATATTTCCTCCCTCCCCAGATCTGGGAGAATCCTGCGGAGGATGCACTCAACGCTGCAGGTTTAATTTCAGACCCCAAAGTCCCCTCCAAACCTTTCTTCCAATCCCAATCAAAGGGAGTTGCTACCTGCACAGACCATGCTCCATCAGACCAAGGTGTGCCCAACACTTCTCTTACCACCCACCTGATAGGGAAGATCTGAAACAGCTCCAACCAGCAGCATCCCTGCCTGCCAACTCTCTGGCAGACAGCCTGGGGGCTGCAGAAGTAGTTCCTCAAGATACTCCTCTAGAAGCAAGGGAGTCCCTAGGAGAAGCAGTTCCTTTTCCTACTCCCCCTTCCATCCCACATATATATACATTCTGGGGCACCAGGGGGAGAGGACACATGTCTGGAACAGAGATCAAAGCAGTAGTGGGATCCAAACTGTCTCAGAAATTCAAATGCTCTGGAGCTTGTTTGCACTGCACCCCTTCCCACAGCAAAATGCTGTTGGACAAAATCAAATGTTTTCAGCTCTTCACCATGCCTGCCAGCTGTCCCTCCCATACCTTAATCTGAAAGGAAAAAAACCACAGAACTTCAGGGGGCAGCAAGAGATGAAGGGAGCAGACTGCAGGGTTGGTCTGGTGAAAGTTAAGGGTTTTTAGGGAGCAGAGCGTAATGCTAAAGATCTCCATCAATAAGCAGAGATCTACAACACAAGCACAGAGCGATCCCTGCTTCTCCCAGGCACAAATGCCATTCTCCAGGACGTCAGAAACAGCACAGGACATTTCCCTGCTCACGAGCCTCATGTTTCACACAGCACCAGGGAAGCCCCAGGACGTGCAGCCCAGCAGAGGTGCTGCAGCATCTCCTGACCCAGCAGCACTGCTGCTCATCCCCAAAGCATGGTTACAGAGCTGAACCTGGGATTTTCCCCTCCAACCTGCACTGAGCTGGGGAAGCTTTCTCCTTCAGCCCTGCTCTGTTCCATCAGCTGTCCACCAGCAGCTTGCACATCTCCTGGGGTCTCTCATTAGCTTGAGTTGGAGCCATTTGCGGCACATCACTGCATCTCAGTGCTGCTTCCCCAGCACAAGTGCCGAGGGTTCAAGGAGAGGAGCTGTGCTAACACTGATGTCATGCTCCCAAAATGTAAACAGCTGTCTGTGGAAGGGCTAGATGGGAAAACACAAACAAGGAAATAGGGAAATAATGGCATTTCACCCCCATGCAAAAATGTTATTTGAGGAAAGCAAAGTTATTATGGGACATCCCGTGATATTCCAGCTGCAAGCTCAGCAGCAGGACTCTAACATCCAAAAAGCCTACAGCAGATAAATCTCATCTATTCATCATATGATATTAATCCTGTAAAAAGCCAAAAACTGGGCTTACGTTAAGTGCTATTCTCCTTTTCTTTTTCTTGGATCCCAGTGCAATTTGAGCTCTGGTCTATCCAACTCAGTGCTTTCCAAAAACTCAGCCTGCAGAGAAAGGGTGAAGACACCAATGCAGTGCCCAGGGGCAGAACACAGCCCCAGGCAGCTGATGGAGGTTATTTTTTCATTGCCATCACTTTATTTCTGACATCTTTCCTACCCCAGCTGCAATGGGAGCATTTTGGGGAGGGCAAAACAGCCATCTCCAATAGAGACCAGTGGGGCTGGAAACAAACATCCCTCCCCAGCCCCGCACAGCCACTTGGCAGAGCACTAGGAAAAGATGTGCTGCGATCTGTGCCTCGCTCTCAGCGAGTCCCAGTGATGGGGTTCTTCACTTTGGGTTCTGCTGGAGGCAGGGGGTGTTCAGAGCAGGGATGCTGCACCTGCAGGTGCACACAGCATCGCTCCTGCTGGTTGCTCAGGCACTGCACTGTGCTGCAAAACCAAACCCAACCCCACGTGAGTGGCATGGAGTCCTCATGGCCCTCCAGCAGCCAGGAACAAATGGATGGAGAAAGTGAGAGGGGAAATTTTTGCCTTGAAATCAGAGCAAAGCAACAGCTTTTGGTGTGGGAGGGCAGCTGCAGCCCCATGAAGACACATGGCTCAGGTGCCACAGGTTTGCAGCCCAAACCTCATGCTGCCCCTGCAAGGCCAACATGTGACAAAGTGCAAACCAAGATCCACACACACTGTAATCAGTGCCCTGCATCCAGATGTTCCTGAGGTTAAACCCATCCCTCTAGCAGGGGAAGCAAATCCCAGCACTGAACCTGCACCTGAGCAGCGTTCTGCTTCCTTCAGCCCTTCCTGCAGAGAGCAGGACCTCACCCAGTGCTGCTGCAGGTTGGTAGGAAGCAAGGAGAGAGCAAGCAGGGCAGCCTCTATCCAGGCAGCAAGCTCACTTGGCTGCAGAGCTGCACAGGGAGTGACACAAGCTGTTTCTCAGCCATTCCCAAAGGGAAGATCTCATGTCTTCCCCACATTAACAAGCCTGGATGGGCTTCTTAAGAAATCTGGATAAGAGAAAGCTGTGCTGACTGTGCCCTCACTCAGAGCCAGGAGGCAGTGCTGGATGACCCCAGGTCCCATCCTGAATTGAGCAAGGCTTTGTGCACCTCTCACAATGAAAATCCTGCAAATAAACTTCAGCAGCCACCCCTGAATCCTAGCTGGGTCACTGCTGAAGCTCCCACCCCACAATTCTTCCAGAGCTAAAAGCACAGCCCGGTGTGGTGACAACTTGAACTCACTTCCCCTCATGTTTACAACCATCCCACACATTCCCAATATGTTTTCCCACACGTGCTCAGTTTTTCCCAAATTCAGCCTTCCCACCTCCTCTCTCCTGACCTTCAGGAGGGTGTCATTCACTGGACACAGCCACTCTGTGAGCTACAGAAGGACTAAGCCAGGATACAAGGAATGTAAACAGAGGCCAGGAATGAAAACAAAACCCCCAGTTCCCAAATCCAAACAGAGGAAGGGCTGATAGGGTCACACGGTGTGTGAACTGCCTGGGATGAGAGCAATGTGGTACCCAAGGCTGCTCCTCCCCTATGTTTTGGGGAGGGATGGGGCAGGGGGTGCTCAGCACAAAGCCCAACCCCCCCTTTAGGGGGTCTCAGGGGTGGGCAGGGGGTGATCACCTGGGGATGGGGGGGATGAGGTGCACGTGGTGCTGTCACGCCTGGCTGTCATGCGGCAGGCTGAGCTCAGAGCCCTGGAGAGTCGGTTGTCCAAAACAAAGGCTGATGTAAACACAAAGCCATGCTCTTCCAGGGATTAGCAGCTCTGCACGAGGCCAGGAAACCTTAAGTCGTCTGAGAGCACGAGGCTGGAAATGAAAGCAGGCAGCAAGAAGGAAGATCTCAGACAGACAGGCTAAAAGCCCCAGGGAGCCATCCGGAGGGCTCCAAGCACTCAGCTCCTCACCCATTGCCTTTCTAACCAAAGCATTCCCTGCAGCACAGTGTGGGGAGCGATGTTGGGGTCCCAACACAGGGACCCCATTAGTCTGTGGTACCCAGCACAGCAGCTGTGAGCACCCTGGGCACAGCTGGGGAGGGTGGATGGGGAGAAGACCCTCCTGGTTCTCCAGGCTCAAAGCAATGCAAGGAAATAACTTCACCTCTGGAAAGCAGCTTGGAAGCAGTGCAGTGTTTGAAAGAACTCTGCCCTCTGCACTCCATCAGCATTGCTGTATTTATCAGCCCTAGCCAGAAGGCTCCTCTCTGTGCCACCAGGCTCACACTTCAGCCAAGCAACAAGCACCAAGGTTCTCCCAGCTCAGATACACTTCCACACCTGGGCTTGGGACTGTGCCAGGTTGATTTTTTACTAAAACCCTCCAAATCAATGTGATTACAATCTATCTTGCAGAGCCCCAGCAGCCGGGGTGCTCACTGCTGGGCGTTTCAGAGCTCTCTTGGCCCCCTGCTGTAAACATCCACCTCCCAGCAGACTGCTCCACAGCTTCCTGACGTGGATTAAGCCCACTTACCCCAGCCAGAGCCCAGGCTGACCCTCCCCAGGTGCTGTCCTAGTGACTTCACAGCTCAGGCAGCTCCAACACAGCATTTGCAGAGCATTAGCCTCCAAAAAAAAAAGTACTGTTTGCTACTGAGGAATTTCTTTGTTTGCTTACCTAGCATTATTTTCTCCATTTATTTAGTCTCTCCTTCTCTATTTCTCACTCCAGATGAACAAACCCCAAGAATCCCAAGCAATCCATCTGCCACAAACCCGCTGAACACCAAGCACTGCACTTTCGCACTGACCTACATGGAGTCCATGTAAACCCCATCACCAGGACCACAGAGCTGGGTGCTCAGCCATGGGGCCAGCATACAGCACCGCATCCCACGGCCTTCCACAGAGGACGATGCTCCATCAGACCTTCATCCACTTAGTTGAAAGTATGCAAACATCTCTCCAATAAACCCAGAATATTTCCCCTGGGAAGTTGTCCACAGCAGGAAAAAACCCTCTTGCATAAAGCTCAGCTATTTATTATTAATATTATCTCCCACTCCACGGAAGTTCTATTTACAGCTGCACACTTCTGCTGCCTCCATTTGCCCACAGTACAGAGATTCCTCTCAGTCTGGAAAGAGCTGCTGTGCAATATGAGT